GCCCGGGCGGTTGGGGGCGGGGGGGGGGGGGGGCCCCCCCCTGCCGCTCCGGCTCGGGGGGAGGGAGGGGGGAGCGTGTGCATGGGGCTAGCCCTCCTGCCTCTCTGGCTCGGGGGGGCGGGGGGCCGCTCCGGCTCATGGCTCAGAGCCTTTCCCTGCTTTGCGCTGGGGCTGCAGTTACTGTGCCACAACAGTCATGTCAGAGCAGTGTTTCTTCGTCTGCCAGAGATGGTTTCATGTGCGCAGCTGGGGAGAGAAGGACGGGTGCCCGCCGCCCCATCTCGTACTCACTTTTGTCTCTTGGCCCCTGCCCCGCTTTATGCCCTCTACCTCCTCCCTCTCTTTGCCAGCAGCAGGGCTGTTGCTCCTCATAGCAAAGTTACTGGTCGAGGTGGGAGGGAAACCAGGGGCTGCTCTCTGGGGGCTGCACGCTGGGGGGCGGCCCGCAGCAGCAAGCGGCGCAGCGCGGGGCAGCTGGCTCACGCAGGCTGAGCCCGTGCTCCCTGCAGCACCGTGGGCAGCTGCTCGCAGCCTCCGCTCATTGCAATGGAAGGGCTTGGGGTTGTAGCCCCAAAACACGAGAGTGACGCCGAAGTGGCTCTGTTCATTGGCCAGAGAGCAGCTCTCTCTCTTTTTCACTTTACCAAATGAGAAATATTCTAGAACAGGCTGTCTGCCGCTGTTGCTGAGAAAGAGTTTCCTCAAGACGCTTGCTTTTCCCTTTTTAGCTCTCCTCGCTTGTCTACTTATTAACACACACAGCAGTTGCAGCGAGCAGGCGGCTGGGGCTGCGAGCAGCTCTGCTCCGGCTCCAGTTAGAAACTAGACCTGCGCACAGCACCACCAGGCCCCAGCCACACCACCTTGCCTCAAATGGCAAAGGTTACGTCTTCAGTTCACCAGCCCCCAAAAGGTTTACAGCTAGCAATCTCGCCAAACACTTGCTTAATTATCGCTTCAACAGTAAGAGGAAGAGAAGTGAGAGACATCTGTATGAAATAAATTAGTTGAGTAATAGAAGTGCTTCCATCAACCAGGCCCTTTGATGGAGGGAGCTATCTAGGCAACACTTCCTCACTTCCTTCTCCCCCGTATTCTCCCTCATTCACATTTTGTGTAGAGCCTCTCACTTTTCATCCCAATTGGGAGGCACAAAACACAGTCAGGGTATTACTCTGTATAAATTACTTTGGCCAGTAAAAGGATTCTCTGCTGTGTAAAAGACTGGCGAGGGCACTAGCCCGTCTTGCTCACCTCCTCACATAGGATGTTATCCCTTCCTCCCGACTATTCTCTCTTTCCTGTCCTGTATCTCTTTCCTAGTATTTCTGGAGAATGAAAAGCAATGCTCCTTTTATCTGCTCTCAACTTCTTTTAGAAAGTAGAAAAAGAACAGTGGCCAAAGTTTAAAAGTACAAAGTATATTAACAGTTATGTTTACTTGCTTGCTTTTTATTTGGGCATGGGGGTTGTTTTGGCATTTCGTACCGTTCTTACTCCTTCCATGCTAACTTTGATTCTCAGCAGTAGGACTGTACATCTGAGAAGGTTTAAAACAGAAAAATATTAGGAAGTCTTTAAAGATACAGAAATGTCCAAGAACAAAGCTGTTTGGTGTGATAACTAGCAAACTTAGTTATGCAATGGTTTACATACACATGACAATGAACTCAGTCATATTGTCATGCAGGTAGTACGAGTTCACATGTCTGGAGACTGCAGATGTGGGAAGTATATTTTCTTGATCTGTGCAGTCCATTCTACCACATGAAGAAGTTTAAGGGCTGAGGTCTTATTTAGTACTGTTTAACCTCAAAACATGTTTGCAGAATTGAGCTGTTAATTACAGTCCCCACGTTACAGCTCCATTTTGTTGTGGCTTTTTGATTTCTGCCACTATTCATTCAGCGAAACTAATTTTGAGCACTTATGTCTTCCTGAAATAACCGTAGCCCCCACCCCCCAAAAAAATAAGTTAAAGATGGTGTTTTAGTAATCTGAGGTGGTAAAATATTTCTGACTTGTAAATTAGGATTACATTGACACATATGTATGAAACTGAATATATACATTTTAGATAATCTATCTTGTGTATTATTTACACCATATTCCTCCTACTTCACAAAGTATTCCTCCAAGAGTGAGGTATAAGGTAAATATACACATATATGTTTTCTTTTTGTACATGTATATTTATTTAGTATACTATAAATGAGTCAAAAAGTCATTATGATACGCTAGGTAAATTTGGATGCAAACGCCTGTTAGAAGTGCAACATTTAAGGGTGTATTAAAGTCCCAAGGGCAGTGTATTGAGCTGTTCTAGAAGAGATCTAGAGTATGGGAGACTGCTGTGGGGGATCCAGGCACAAAACTAAGAAAATCATTTATTCTATACTTAACATTGTAAACATTGTCAAAATTAACTGTTTTCTAAGTACTTGATCCTTAGGTTTACCTAAGGATTCACTAAAGATTGTTTATGGCATTTTTCTACTGATAAACCATCAAGGTGAAGTAAGCTTTAGGGAAGTTTGGCAAGAATATGTGTTTGGAATAGGTTTCAAGTAAGCAAGTACAAGTCTGGGAGAACATTGTTATCACAGAATCATAGGAAGCATTTATTTGTCAGTATCTGTAATTTCTGGCTACTTCTGTTAGAAGTTTACTCCAAGAGCAGTTATGCACTTAATGCTGGACCAAAAAAAGGGAAAGTGCAGCACATAACATGCACGCTATATTTTGGTTATGCACAGTGCTCAACAAAGTGTATTAGTCTCCCCCTGCAGAAAAAGAAGGCAGCTTATGAAGAAGGAAAAGGAGCATCACTTAGGTCATTGCCAGGGCACAGGTGCTTAAGTGCAATCCAATGCATGCAAAGAAAGTGCCTGCTGGGCATTTTTAGGATTTCAGTTATGCCTTCTGTAAGCCAGCAAGTGAACTCTGTTGCAGCATGATCAAAAGTTGCACTTAAAGAATGGATGGAGACTGCATGAATGAGTACATATGTGCTGCCTTGGCTACCAGCACAGAAGTTCTTCCAAAGATTCCCCCCTAAAATTAAGTTTCACAATCAGTGGTCTGTGGCTTATGCAGGGTTCACCAGTCTTGTTAGTCATGCTGTGCAGTCTCAATCTTTCACATCCCTTTTCTGCATTTCTGCAGGATCGAAATCCTCTGCAGGAGCGGAAATAAGTACATGTTAAGATTACTTCTAATCTGTTTTCCCTGATTGCATTTAAACATCTATGCTCTCATCACGGGTCTATTGCTATATATACACCTTGCATAGGCAATTTCTTCCCATTCTACTGAAGCCAGTATAGGAGTGATATGCACTTCTTTTTTTTTCCTTGTCATTTTCACTATACTTATTCTTTCTTAACATGAAGAAGCTTCTCCTTCCAGGTAGTAAGCAAGTAGTTAGAGTCCAGCACTCTATTCACTTTCCACATATCAGTTATCTTGATCAGCAGCCTGCAAGCCTGAGCTCTAGTTGGAAACATGGTTACTAGTACCTCCTCCTATTGTATTGTCAGAGGTGAGCTAAAACATTACCTGATGCAATTATAGTAATAATATTAATGATGATGATGATAATAATAATAATAATAATAATAAGGTGATCTTTTCCAGATAAAACTATCTGACTCTGCTTTAATTTGTATGTCTAACGCCTTCAGAACATTCAGCATAACTATAGGGTCATGAAGTAAGCCAATGTTTTGTTCATAGCTACCATAAGCATAGGAATGAGAGAATTAGCTGACTGGAATAAATGCTAAATAAAATAATTATGTGAAAGTCTTGGTCAAGATATTACACCTGTAGGACAATGATAAAGAAGGAGAAAACTGGGTGTCTCAAACCACTTAGTACCTCAGATGGCTATCTTAGCTATCTTATCATTTAAATCCATTTGTGTCTTGGTTTTGTTATGATTAAATGCTATACCTTAGAAAATGCCAAACTTATTTATTTCATTTTAAATCAACTTCATGTTGAGAAATACGGAAAATTATTTTAAACTAAAACATGTTTTTAGAGACTGCTCCTTCATCTATTTTTCTATACGTTTTCTCATTACTGTTCTTACCTTTTCCTACAAAATATCATTGTTAATTTTCAAAAAATTCTGTACTTTTTCTCCTACTTCTCTCACTGAGCTTTTAAGGCACTATATTTATCTATATAGTGAAGCTAATTCACTTCTTCTGTTACCACCTTTTCAGCTGAAACCTCCAAGTGGCAGAGCACAATGCAGGTAAAAAAAGTCCAGCAATAAATGACAGAAATAAAAGGGAGGCAACGCAGTTTGAAGGAG